ATACTCCGGTTTTCTAAAAGATGTTCACTATTAGAAGTGAGGGTGGTAGTTGCTCCTACCTGGCTGCAGAAAATAATCCCAGCAACCCCACAACTATTGACTAACTGCTTGGCAAGTGCCAGACACTGTACTGAGTGCATTACCGATGACCCCCTGTAATCCTACCACAGCCCGAGGAGAGTCCTGTGACTAGCTCCATTTCACAGGGGAGAAATTTAAGGCTTACAGATATTAAGTCACTTGCCTAAAGTCACAATCCTTATGTGTGATTAGGCAAAGATTCCAACTGAACTCTAACTCCCAAGTTCGGGCTCTTAACCACTGGACACCACCACTCCCCAATATGCATTCACCTATTTCCAAAGAGAAAGGCAGATTTTCTCTCTCCACCACTGCAGAAAGGAGGTCCATGTGATATCAGAGAAGCTGGGAATGAAAATAACAGCCTTCTTCTTGAGCTTCCCAGGTTAGAAATATGAGACAGACCCTTAACAGATAGGTAAACAGCTATAATCGCAGAAGTTTACCTGATCTTGCATAGGAAGTGTTTCAAGTTTACGGAGACATCTATCAGAATTAAATTTTTAAATGTTAACTCTTGGAGGGGAAGATGGTACTGGAGAGTCATTCCCAACTTGACTCTAATTATACAGCATGCAAGCGCAGGCATGTAGAAAGATTCATATTTTATCAAGGTGTGTACAAAGTGGAGTTCAGTGAGAAGACAGAAGCTGAAATTCTTATATGCACTTTCCCAAGCAAACATTGTAAAACCTAATCTGCTGTGCATGGCAGGGGGCAGGTAGCTAGGATCAGGCATCCCTGAATGTGTTGTGACTGGGAAACCATAAAGCAGCTCTCTCCTGCCCAGAATCAGTGCTGGTTGATTCGGTTCTGTTTCCATGTAACAACTGCTAAAACTCTGCTCGTAAATCACACTATTTATATGCTTTAAAAAGTAATGTACAAAAAATAAAATGAAAATATAGTAAAGAATACTTTTTTTTTGTAGAAACTGTCTGATAGCAGATGTCCATACAGAGAGAAAATAATAGGGATTAATCGAAAAGAGAAAAAAAAGCGCTTGTGAAATTTCAACTTTTGTCTCTAATTTTGCATGAAATTGAGCCATTTTCCTGGGAAAATTAAAATAACAGCAAGTCTTCTCTGCATCCAGAGTGTGGTACCACCAGGGAAGGAAAGCTGTAGCATTAACGGGGAAGCACTGTGCTGCCTTTACTGCTGAGGATTTTCAACGGACTGAGATTGGTGAGCCAAGGCTATGGTGATTAAGAAGGTTATTTGTGACGACAGTGCATCAGAGCCTCCTCAATTAAGTCATAATACAGGCTCCTTCCCAGATGCAGACATTTATGCTCCATATCCACTGTGAAGGGGAAGGATGAGTTATTGTGGGATATTTTTATTTCAAATGATTGCTGAAAGGACAAGAATGCATCAAAATTTGATCTAGACAAGACCTTCAAGCAATGCTCAAATTCACCTCCACATTCTTGGGTATAAAATCCGTGTGAGGAGAATTGGCAGCTGACTACAGAGATTCATCACAGTGAAATGTCCAAGGCTCCTAAGAGGGAGAGAAGGCTGCATCTAGCAAAATTGCCACCAGACTAAAAAATGTTCTCGCCTAGTGTGGCCTCAAGAAACCTAATCACATTTATGAAAATTCTTGGTTTTCAGCTTTTTCCTAGGCAGCAATATTGCCCCTCACATTAACACCCATCAAGGCATGAATGCAGATTACTCTTCAAGCATTTTCAATTGGTTTAATCACTGGAAAAAATTGTATCTCCTTGTATAAAAATATACCAATATATTTGTATCAATTGGTACAAAGACTGAACCTATTTATTTTTGGTAGTACCCCCTGATCTTTTGACACAGAGAAATATTCACTTTTTATTTTAACATCTAGGGGATCCACAGACCGCTTTGTACTCTGGCTCCAAAAGCTGTTTGTTCCCCAAACAAAAGGAAATTCCCTTCATGGAGGGGAAACAGCACCCCCTAGTGAAACAATATTTCCCAATATTCCTTCAGTGATGTAGCTCCATCTCCATTCCACAGCAGTGTGGGTGCATTTTAGAGGCTAAGGCCCCGTGCCTAGGGCCTCCAAACTTTTCAAGGGCCAATAAAATTGTTTGAGAGCTGAGAAAAATCTGTTGGCTTCAAAGTTTTTTAAGTTCTAAAGCTCAAATTAATGTTTGATTAAATGTCTACAAAATGTGACATATCAACTAATCACAGCAATTCAATTATTAAATAGTTATATATAAATTACACTTAATGTATGATGTGGGTTCATTTTAGTATTTTCTATGATTACGGACAGAACCTCTTAAAAAATAGTTAAAAGCCTGTTTATTTTTCATAGAGTTGACCTTTCTTAAAGACTCTTGATGATCATTAACATGGTTCATCAAAGTCTTAACTAATTACTCTCTTAAAAACATTAAAAACAATACTTTATATGTGCAAAGTGCTTGGTAAAAGTTTACACATAGTCCCATTCACCTCATTTATCTTTACAATAGTAAATTAAGAAATGATGAATTAAAATTTTTGGATATGGTGGGTTTTGGGTTTCTCTCTTTCTCTCTCTCTCTCTTTTCTTTTCTTTTCTTTTTTTTTTTTTGCCAAAGTACAAAATATTACAAATTCTGAAGCAAAAACAAACAAAACCATCAGAATCAAAACAGATTAACAAGTGCAGTTCAAATGAAAACAAACCACTAATTTGAAATGGCATATGTAGACTTTGATGGGGGACAATACATAGCATGTGGCTCCAGAGTCAGATATTCTGAATAGGAGCTGTGTGACCTGGGAGAAGTTACTTAATCTCTCTGTGCCTCGGTATCCTCAACTGTAAAATGAAGGTAAAAGAATACTTACCTCACAGGATTGTTGTGATGTTTAAGTGAGTCTGTATAAATTAAATACTTACAGTAGTGTGTGGCCCATAGTAAGAGTTCAGTGAATACCAGAAGTTATTATTGAACCAAACCATACTAATCTTTGATTCTCAGAAATACATCAATTTAAGATTTTGAATAAATTAACTCTTATCAAAACTGAAAACATACACAAAACAGTCACTCATCTTTTGTATTTTTTTTTCTTTTTTTTTTTTGGTGGGGGAGGTAATCAGGTTTATTTATTTATTCTTAGAGGAGGCACTGGGGATTGAACCCGGGACCTCAGGCATGCTAAGCATGCGCTCTGCCCATGTGAGCTATACCCTCCCCTCCACTCATCTTTTGTATTGAAACTTTTTATTTGCAAATGATTTCAAACTTTGAATTGTTAACATTTTATTGATTTGCTTTTTCATTTGCCCTGCAGATCACTGCAAATCTGTGTTCCCACTTCTTAATCATAACTTATGATGTGTTCATTTTCTATTTCTGAGTAACAAATTAAATTTGGTGACTTAAAACAACACCTATTTAAAAGATCTTAGTTGTATCAGTCAGAAGTCTGAGCACAACGTGACGGGGTTCCCTGCTCAGGGCTCACAAGGCTGAAATGAAGGGATTGGCCAGGCTGAGCTCCTTTCTGGGACCCCTTTCTTTGTTGTTGGCCAAATTCAGTTCCTTGCAGCTATAGGACTGAGCTTTCCATTTCCTTGCTGACTCTCAACTGTGGGCCACTCACAGCTCCTTCAGGTCACTCACCTTCCTTGCAAATGACCCCATCTATCTCCTAAGCAGCAATGGAGAATCTCCCTCATGGTTATTCTTTTCAAGCTTTGAATCTTTCTCCCAAGGAAGAGCCCAGTTCCTCTTAGGGCTTGCCCAGTGAGGTCAGGCTCACCTAGGATAATCTGTCTCTTTTTCTTAAAGCTGACTGATTTGGGACCTGCAACATCCCTTCACAGAAGTACCTAGATTAGTGTTTGAATAACTGGGAGAAGGTGGGAATTTGGGGGGGGGCATCTCAGAATTCCACCTACCACATATAAAGAGGCACTTTATAAGCCTCTGTTTTAGTCTACTAGGGCTGCCATAGCAAAATACCATGGACTGAATGGCTTAAACAACAGAAATTAATTTTCTCACAGTTCTGGAGGTTGGAAGTCCCAGATCAAGGTGTCAGCAGGTTTGTTTTCTCCTGAGGCCCTCCTCCTTGGCTTGCACATGGCCATCTTCTTACTGTGTCCTCACATGGCCTTTTTCTCTGTGCGTATGCAGCCCTGGTGGCTCTCTCTTCTTATAAGGACACGAGTGATACTAGACTGGGGCTATAGCATATGAATTTGTGTGTGTTGAGGGGGAAGACACAATTTGGTCCATATCAGTCTAACAGCAAGACTAAGAGCTAATATTTGAGCTGCTAGGCAGGTACTGTGCTAAACATTTTTGGTAGGCTATCTCATTTAACATAAATCATTAGATTAAGTTGTACATCATCATAACCATTATAAAAAATTCCAGCTTTATCAAAATATTTCCTATATTCTTGATTAGAAATTCTATAAAATTTTTATTGATCTGATTCTTAGAGTTCTCTGTCTGTACTGTGCTTCATTCTGAGGACAGTTTGATTCACTGATCAAATTTTATCCGTCATCTGTGAGCTTGGTACAGAGGCACAAAGATGAGTAATCAAAATTCCTGCTCTCAGAGAGTATAGGCTAGAAGGAAAGACATTTTATGTGTGTGTCTCCATGTATATTTTGAAATATGTTACATAAAAAGTGTCAATTATATTTACAGAACCATTCTGTACATGTAAGTTCTTATGAAAGCTAAGGTACTTAAAATTAAAATAGTAATTTCAAGAAAGAGGAAAACCCTGATTGTTTGATTTTACATTACCTTCTTGAGCTGCATTAACCCTACCTATGCAGTAACACATTCTTTTGTATGTGGCTTTAGACTGAATTCTCTGAGATTGAGAAAAATCCACTTGTGGTTTAAAGGTGAGAAGTAATCATGACATAAAAGTGCAACACCTGACTGGGTAAGGTGCCTCAAGTTCCACTTGCTCTGCTCAAGAGACAGAAAAATTTTTTTTTCTTTTAAAAATTGTTTATTTTCTCTTCAACCCATTCACCTTTTATGCTACCTACACCGAGACCTTTTTTCCTCCAGGAGGCAAAGGCAGCATTTGCAGGTACCAAAGAAAATCTCCAGATTTGCCGGCTAAGTTGCTTCTCAGCTGTGGGCGGAGTGCGGTGATTGCACCTTGGCGTGGAGCCCCTTCCTTACCCAGCCCCACCCTCAGCCCTCCTTGCCTTCCTCAAGACCCGTGGGCCGGGTGCTGAGTTCTGCATCCCCCTCCCTGGCTCATTATCCATTCACTCACGTCTGCGAAAGTGTGGCCAGGGCTAGCCCGGGACCAGGGACCCGCAGCCCGCGCCAGATCCCCGGAGGCCCCGCCTCGCCCCGTGCTGCCGGGGCGGATAAATGGCCTCTGAGCCCGCCGAGCTTCATCCGACTTCGCCGCGGCTCAGCTCGCGCTGGCGTTTTCCCCAACCACAACACCCCCCACCCTCACAGTGAGCCCTCCGCCCATGGAGGAGGAGGAGACGTACCTGGAGCTCTACCTGGACCGATGCGCCGCCCAGGTGAGCCTGGAAGCCGCCGCCACTGTCCCAGAGTCAGGGTCCGCGTCCCTGCCCTATCGCTGAGCGCCGGGTCCTGCGCCAAGTCAAGCTCATAAAACTCCTGGTGACCTTAGGAGGTGGGCTTGATTGTCCCAGTTGTAAAAACTGAAGCATCGAGAAGTGAAATAACTTACCTAAGGCTGCCGGCCGAACTCGAACCTGGTCTAGTGTGAACCAAATTGGAGGCACCTGTGGCTTCTTTCAGTTTGTGATTCTTACCCCCGCCCCCCCCCCTTTTTTTTTTTGCTTGTTTTTGCTTTTTAATTTAAGAAGTGTAGAAAAGAGAGGAGGGAGTCTTCCAAAAGAAAAGCAAGAGAGCAACTTAGGGCGAGGGTCGGGGGTGGATTTTTAAGTAGGCAAGAGGTAGAAATAGTGAAATCCCATAGTGTATTGTTTAACATCACAAAGGAGAGCCCACGCTGGGAAGGTTCTGGGAAGGATAAGTTAAAGGCTTTGCAAAGACAGTTTAACAAAAAGTTTCTTCAGATATAGGGCCAAGGATGCAGGGAATACTCTAGGTATATTCTCTGAGGTGTGTTCCTGAAGCTAAACTACAGGTAAAGGAGGCTGTCAGAGTTCCATTGTTATAAAACATCCATCTTCAATATCGTGTTGCCATTGCCTTAAATTCCTTGTTGAAATTTAGTTCTTTGGGTGAGAGCTTCGTCCCTGCTAAAATGCCATAATGGGAAAATGGTGGGGAGACACTGATCTTTGCAAATATTAGTGCTTTAGTGTAAATTGGCTGATGAGATCTTTTCAGAGTAGGACAGAACAGGCCAGGGAAATAATGGAGAGGAATCTGGGCCATTGACCCCACCTCACTTTTTTAGGGCCAATCAGTGGTGTGGGAGTGGAGATAGGAGCTAATAACATAATTCAAAATGAAACAAGGTCAAAAATCGTATTTCAAGAGAGTGACCACATTCTTCCAAGCATTTTCTTCAAACAATTAGTCACCCCTGCCATCTGCTGGACTTGAAGTAATAGGACAACTCAATAGGATGTAGACAGATGTATTATCTTAGCTTAGGTAGCTTTGTCATTGAGAAGATGCAACAGAAGACATTTGTGACTGTTCAGTTGTCAGAAGTAAGATCTTCTAAGACCTGAGATTATCCTGCCAGCAGTGCTCAAGATCTAGAATCCAGGCCTGCAACTTGGGTAAAGTGGGTGGTAATATATGTACCAAGGTCATCGACTTTTTTCCGTAACAAAGGCCATGAATTTTGCATTAGCTACTTCCCTCAGAGGCACACCTCATTCCCTCAGTTGATGGTAATGGAAGTTGAGCAGCCTTCCTTGGACTGGAAATACAATACATTGATTTAAACTAGATTTACCATTTACATTTCAATAACTTTCTTCCTATTGTACATTCACATAACTGGAATGACTTTTTTTTTCCTGTATATATATATATATTTTTTATTGAAGTATAGTCAGTTTACAATGTTGTGTCAATTTCTGGTATAAATTGGGAGTTTGAGATTTGCAGATACTAACTAATATATATAAAATAGATAAAACAACAAGTTCATACTGTATAGCACAGGGAACTAATTCAAAATCTTGTAGTAACCTATGGTGAAAAAGAATATGGAATAGTTTCTTATCTCTCCTTTGACTAGAAGGAATAAAGATGGGTCCTTAGTGGTGGCTTGATTAGCACATAAAGCTATGTCTTAAACTTCCTTCACTTATTGCTCTTCTCTTTAAAATATGAATTTAAAACTCAAAATCTTTAAATCAGTTAAGATTTATAATCAACTTGAGTACAGAAAATCTGTACTCTTTAAGGGAGGGTATAGCTCAGTGGTAGAGTGCGTGCTGAGCATGCTCGAGGTCCTAGGTTCAAGCCCCAGTACCTCCATTAAAAAATAAATAAATAACCTAAGTACCTCCTCCTCCTGTGAATGAAAGAAAGAAAGAAAAGAAAGAAAAAGAAAGGAAAGAAAGAAAGATAAAATCTGTACTCTTCAAAGTACCCACAATTTAGAGCATGGTTGCTCAATTGTCTTAGTTACAAAATTGGATTTAGAGTGGCAAGTTATTAAGGATCTAACCAAAGTAAGAAAAGCATTTTATGAAAAATGCTTTTTCTGCTTTTTAAGATATACTTTCCTGTTTTCATTAGGTGTGTTGTAATTCTATAACTTTAATGATACTTTGTGGAAAGTGCAGGGCATGAACATAGCTATCCTGGACTGCCTCATCTGAATGAATTGCCCGCCGGCCATGGTGGCATCCCTTTGGTGTGACATGATGTTCTGTTTGTTGTGTTTTGTTTGTCTGTTTTGGGAACGGCCTAGGATGACCTTTCCCCACCCAGGTCACTCCTGCTCAGCCCAGTTGTGCCTTGTGATGTGTACATACCTAATTCATCCAATCCAGAGACTGCATTTAATTCACAGCTTGAAGAAGTCAAAGAAATTTCTGACAGTTTCTCATCTGCGGATCTTAGCTTCCTGCCAGATGAGCTTATGCAAGAAAGTAGAGACCAGACTGTCATTAGAAGCAAGAATGAAACTGAAGAAAATTGTAAAACTCAAAGTCGGCAAAGTAGGTTGCCATCACCCAGCCAACAGGACATTGGCCTGGCCTTTAGCAGCAGCAGTGGGTCAAATTCAAATTCCCATCTGCACCCTGGTGATGCTGACTCAGTCCAGCCCTCTTCTGAGAAACCATACTCCTTGCCTCTGGTGTCCATAACTCCCATGACACCAATGACCCCTGTTTCAGAATGTCCTGGAATTGTGCCTCAACTACAGTAAGTAGTTGTTTTTTCAAATGGGTGATGCTTCTGAGTACACATTTTGTTTTCCTAAATGTGATGTTAGTGTAAGGAAGAGAATTTCAGATTTTATTATTCTTTGTTTTATCAAAGAATAAACGGACTTTCCCCCCATTTATTCTTAGTGGATTTGGCTTTAGTTTGGTTATCTGTAAAGTGAAGCACTAACTCTTGATCTCCTATGAGGAAACTCAGGGTTAGTATACACAGTCTTGAAGGATTATATTGTTTATACTAAAGCACAGTAGTTGCTGAAAATTGTGGTTGGGTTTGGATAAACACAAAGGATATAAAGATGTAAAATTGAATTTGATCTGCAAGTTGATTTGATATTACGCTTT